AGCTTTATCACTGATTCTTTGACAACTTTTAGACATGATTGGTGTGACTGGGGTATTCATCAGCCGGCCTGTCAACCTGGGCCTGACGCTGGTACTAGAACCATTTTTGCAATTTTTGCAAGGCATGGTTTAGAGCCTCGGCAGGGATCGAACTCGCGGTTTTTCAGAGGTGCAGACATGAGTCTAACCTCTTAACCACTCGGCTATCCCTGCCCTGTCAGAAATTAAGATTACATGGAGTTTAATAAAGTTTAGCACAAAATGAGAACGGAGAGTATAAAAGTTCGGTTTGATATTAATGCATAGTCTTTTGACTTCGAGGGGATTATTCTTTTTTGCTGGAAGACGAGCTGGGCTCAGGTTGTGACGGTCAGGTGGATAGAACTAACAATATTTATTTTGCATACTTTCCACAGCTCGCAGCGGCACTTTATTACTTGATAACCTTTTCTGAATCACTCACGCTCATCCAAGAGTGATAATGAATGCAAACGGCCACTCCAGCGTGATCAGGAGTCGAAGCCGTAGGCAGAAAACAGGACATGTGCTCAGGGAGGTGACAATACCAGGAGCTTCCAAGCTTGCAATGAAGGTCGTGTAAGAAAGTGGCGTGGCTATGCTTCAGTAATTATCCGCTTACATTGTGCGATTTCTGAATTTTGACTTGCAGCGCATAGTTCTTATGTAAATTGATGATGAGATCGGCTGCTCGGTACTCAAATCCTTTTCCTAATTATTCAACTACCACAAGTGGTAAAAAAGTCGGGGATCGATCACACCTAAGCATTTTTCTTTATCATTGCGCGCTCTATCGCCATCTAATGCGCTATGTATTTGCCATGTTTTCGAGTGACCACACCTGGCATGCAGCAAGATGTTGTCGTTGGTGTAGGTGCTGCAGTGGTGTCGGCTATTACTTACGGCTCTACGTATGTACCTGTTCGCTGGTTCGAAACTGGAGACGGTAAGCTAGAAGAATAAAATGAAAGACTCTGCTAGCTTGGTTCAAAAGATGAATATTATCCAGGGCTGTACTTCCAATGGATGATGTGCATTGGTCAGTCACTGTTTGGTGCCATTGTTCTCGGTGTTACTGGTTGGCCACCGGTGTTTCCTTTTGCCATGCTTTCGGGAGTTTTCTTCGCCATCGGTGAGTATATGGAAAACTTCTTCTATGGCTCCAAACAACTGACAAACTTGTCATTCTAGGTAACGCGCTCACGATCTACATTATGGATGGAATAGGTATGGCAGTAGGCTCATTACTATGGAACACCGTCACTTGCGTCACCGGATGGGCTGTGACGCGATTCGGTCTGCTGGGGAATCCACAACAGCTCCCTCATGATAACGTCATGAACATTATCGGTGTTGGAACAGTATGCATAGGGTAGGTGGAGGCTCTGTGAAGCCTGGTTTGTATAGTCCAATTTATAACCACTAAAGAGTTCTTCTCGCTTAATTGCCTGAAATTTTTCAGTGGATGCTTTTTCGCCACGATAAAGCACCATCGAATGAAAGTTCGACCTGCGCCTTGGCAGACAAAGGTTGGTTTTCGAAAACATTTAAATAACACTGTACGATGAATCGTGAAATGCTTCCTGTCTCGCTCACATAGCGTCTCTCTAAACGGAAATTCCAATTGCTGAGACATTGGCTCTAGTAACTAAGTAGGACCATAGCCAAGCAACGTAATACCAACCGGCAACGAACCGACAATCAAAGGAATAGTCGGAAGCTACTAATTCCAAAGCAGGATTCGTAAAGGATGTCCGATTCAAAATTTATGATCGACATGAAAACACACTGCATGAGCAATGAATCAACAAAGAGTCGCTCTCTCCATCAAGGCCAACCGTCCATCATTAGACAAAGTCCAAGAGGGGGTCGTATTCGGTCGACCGAAGAGGGGGAAGGTCGTATTTCCAAGGATCAACGTCGCAGTACGTAGGTGAGAGGCATCACTTTCGAGCACTTCTCTAACATCTCAGAGCAGAAGATTTCACTGCAGTAGTGTCATATTCGCTGTTCACGTACGCATAATATGCTTCTGAAGAACCAATGTCTTCAAACTGAACCTATGTTAGTAAAAGGGTGACCACTTGGGTAGATTGACTGCTAAAGGCTTACAAGAAAAGTTTGGAAAAAAAGTTTGCCTGTCGGCGACTTCCTGAAAAGGGTTCAGTATCTGTTATGAAGCACAAAGCTTGTGCGATGTCATGGTATCATTATTCCTTATAAAATTGAGTTTGAAGAGAGTTGAGTGTTGAAAACTCGCGTTTTCAGGAGAGTAGCTCCGAAAATTCATGAAAAAAAACGGTCCAACGGGCGATTTTTTGAACGGGTCATTGTGGAAACTAGTTCAAGTATTCATTAGAAAGCTCTAACCTTCTAGTTTCTTCCAGGGGGACAAGAACTGCAAAAAGTTGAATCTGAAGAAAGTTATAACAGTTCAAAGCCAAAAAACCAGCGCTCTGCCAAAAATCGGTCCGCGATTTCCCCAAAACGGTCCAACGGGGCGATTTTTTGACTCCATCAGAAAAGTTCAAGTATTCGTTAGAAAGCTCTAACCTTCTAGTTTATCCCAGGGGGACAATAATTGCAAAAGGTTCTTTCTGAAGAAAGTTATAGTCATTGAAAGCCAAAAACCCGGTTGTGCACAAAAAACGGTCCAACGGGGCGATTTTTTGAAGAAATGAAACTTTACAAAAGTTTGAGTACTTTTTAGAAAGAAAACAATCTGAGTTTCAAAATTTTCTTACCACTTCTCACACTTCTTATTTGAAAATTACAACCTTTCAAATGAAGAAGTGCGCATTTCTGTGAATTCTTAATTCTCTACCCCATAACTAAAGAGTTCTTGAGATACTGCATAAACGTGGTGGTTTTCTGAAACTAGCAGTCTCGTAGATTACAAATCTACTTAGCGTTTTGAAAAATATTGACGTTGAACAGAATTACACTCATTTGAAAATTAGTAGTCTGCCTTGGTCTATCCGCGCTGGGCCGAGTAGAAGATTGTGCGCGCCAATGCAAACGCGACGCTACCGCGCTCAATCTGGTGTAACGCTCGAAATAGTAGTACGAAGTAGCACGCGAACACAAACACGACTGAAAGAAAAAGGTTTCTATTTAGGGCGTGGTCGGGGGTTTCTTTTGCTTTCTTTTTCTTTTCCAGACCACCTCCCACCTCTAAATTCCATAACTGGACGCTTTTCCACACCCGAATATTTTGCAGTCAAGCATTCATCTGTAGCGGCATCCTGTACAAGAAAACAATGGTGAAGTGCGCCAAGTGCAAAGTGACTTTTTTGCCTTTTTTGCCTTCTTTTTGCTTTTTGCTCGGAAGAGGTCAGCAGGTATCGGTGAATGAGGCGTGGCTAACATGGGCGAGTTTGCCACGAAACACAGATAGCTTCAGAGAAGACCCCGAAACCTGGAAAAAAATGGATGAAGGTTGGCGAAGTAATGAAGGGTAAATGCTATTGGTGGGTAGCACCGAAGTGGATGGAGTTCTTCATCCGTACTATAGATCTATTCATAGTCCTGTTTTACTCCATAGCTGATACCGCGTGATGCTCGCGTCTGCGTGCGCCGCGAAACTGATGAAATTTGTACAGGTGTCCTAACAATACTTGCGCCAAATTTTATAAGATCATTAGAAAAGTTATCTCAATTATTCTCTTTCCGCGCGCTAAAATCGTTGTGCAGGTAGGTTTTCTTGTGAACTGCATCGTTATTGGAAACTGCCAGTATCTCTGAGATGGCGAGAGGTGATCCAAGGTGACCTGCGATCATTCGCGTGCGCGAGCAAGAGACTGCATCGTAGGACATTATTAATATTTCTTGATGTTCCCGTGAACATACAGAAGGCCATCAAACGATGCAGGAGAATGAGGGCACTCATTAGCAAGCCTGGGCAAGGAAGAATGGTCAAAGTTTCTATGGATAGAATTATCGAAATGTTTGGTTAGCAATCCAGGGTGCTCCATCAGAAGGTGGCAAGGCCAATATATCGAATTCATCGATGGGCCTCATCGCTGAGGATAAGCAGCACTGCCAATCCTTACTTACTTCTTACTTCTCTTACTTCTCGACCGCTATTCGTCCCGGGCACGCCAGAAACGCAGGTCGCACATCTTCCAGGTCCGCTCTGCTTCGGGCTCTTCTGCGCCACAGCTGGCCGTACATCTTCACGAGAGGGTCTGCCCATCGGTGGGGGGTCTGCCTCTGGGCCTTGTTTTTCCCCTTGGGTACCAGTCAGTCACTCTCTTCGTCCAGCGATCATCGGTAAGTCTAGCCACATGACCGGCCCACCTCCGCTTGGAATTATAGATGGCATCGACGACGTCCTTCACCATCGTACGAGCGCGGATGGTGTCATTGGGTATGCGGTCTCGGAGCGTTACCCCGCACATGGCCCTCTCCATGGCTCGCTGAGTGACTGTGGTGCTCCACGTCTCCGCCCCGTAGGTCATCGCGGGAAGAACATGCGAGTTGAAGACGTGAGCTTTGACCCGGGGTCGACGTGCTTAGAAGTTAGTACATCTCGAAGTTTATTGAACGCGGTCCAGCCCGCTCTGCGGCGTCGGCTAATCTCGAGCGTGAGATCGTTATTCATGTTGACCGCTTTACCGAGATATACGTAAGAGGAGACTCGCTCGATCTCCTGGCCTTCTAGGAGGATCGGCTGGTACTGAACTTGTTCGTTGTGCATCCACTGAGTCTTGCCGGGATGAATTTGTAGTCCGATTTTGCCGGCTTCCTGCCTGATGAGGCTCAGGGATTGCGCAATGTCGGCGGGGTCCTCGCCTATCAGAACACAGTCATCAGCGAAGAGGAGATGCGTTAAGCGAACGCCGTCGATGTTCACTCCTCCGGGCAACGAGATTCGCCTCATGATGTTCTCGAGCGCAATAGCGAACAAGTTCGGGGACGTAACCTCGCCTTGTCTGACGCCGCGCCGGATTTGAACACGGACCGGTGTTTTTATGAGTTTGATATCGGTATAACAGCCCGTGTTGCACTGCCGCGTGATTCTAATATAGGGCTCGGGGATACCGCACTCGCGCATGGCGTTGTATACACTCTCATGCTCCACTGTGTCGAAGGCCTTTTTGAAATCGATAAACAGAAGACACAGTGGGGTGCGGTACTCGCGGCAACGTTCCGTCAGCTGTGCACAGCTGACGGAACTGGCAATCCTAGTACATGCAAAAGGACCGCTTCATTCTGTAAAGCAACATGCAGCAAAGAGGTCCAAAAAGTTGGGAAGAGTACTAGCGCGCTTCACTGGCCCTACGCAACTCTCAATCGTTTTTTTCTGACAAGAAAATATTCGCTGTGGAGCCGGTGTTGAATCGCCAAAGCGATCACATTCTTAGAAATATCGGGAGTGCCATCTCACGAGGAAAGATTGTTGAAGAACGGCTAACCGGCATCAGTAATGATTTTAGGATGAGTTGCCGGCCAATGAGACGGCGTCGGCCGATTCATGTGTGAAGACCAGCAAGGACGTGCATATTGGAGAACGTATTGAAGCCTTGATCCAAGTCCTACTTTAGGGTAGGTCGTGGTGTTTCCAGTGGGACTGCTACAGCCCATGGGGCCAAGTTCTTTCAATACAAGAGCAAGTTGCGAGCTGCCCACTTCGTCGCGAAAAAGGAATGGCCTTCCTACCTCCTAATCTTAATCACTTGGAACTCTCAGTCTAATCCGGGATTGAAGAGCAAGGCATGTCGAGCTCGTCGTACGAATCTGCAACATTGCAAGCAATCAAAGGAAGCCTGGGAAGAATTGGATAAGGAACACCTGCGTACAACGTGCGAAGGATGCAAGAAGAGACTCCGGGCCTGAATTCGTGCAGGTGGAGGACATTTTGAAATCTAATTGTTGCATGTTGTTGTGTATGATGTTAGTATAATTATGTTCAGATTCAATTATCATTCTGCATCTAATAGTCTAAAAGACACTGCAATAAAAGACACAAGTAATTTTGGGACGCCCTGCATTATACAACGAACCACAAGCATTTTCTTTTCCGGTACTGACGGCCTCCATAAGCATCAACAGAAATGCTGAACAACAGAAGGGGATTGTTCTTTGTTACGATACTATCAATTTCTGAAGTATTACAGCCAGAAAGACGATTATCCTTCGAAGTTGTGGATCAGCACACCTCCACTCTCAAAAGAACAATGTGAGTTTATTTGGAGGCAGAGGGCGAGCTTGTGTGTATCAATAAAAGTTCTGCAAAGTACTGGTGAGTTTTCTGCACTTGCCCCAAGTCGCGGTGCATTTGAAATAGATCAGAACCTATTTGAGAACTTGTTCTTTGATTTCTTCCTAGAATTCGTGAAGGAAACCTGGTTTTTACGTTGACGACCTGTGAGTCTGGATTCAGGAACTACTCATGAAATTTGAGTGACTTTCCACTGCTTCGTCTTTTTTGCAGACTGATGTAGAATTACAGTAGCATCCGAGTAGTGACTCGTGCACCAGTCCTTCTAGGTAGAACGCCGACGGGTTGAATACGCGTGAATAAAAAGGGCTAAAAAGATATGATATCCGGTGCTTGGCATTGCTCATCAAGCGGTAATGGATTGCAGTAAAAGTATAATAGAATCTACATTATGTTGTTGCAGTATTCCTTTGAAACAGATACGGTATAAGCAGTGCTATAGTACCAATGCTCTCATATCCATGCTTTATGTCTAGAGCTATTCTACTAACAATGTTTGTTGGATTTTTGTATGGAAACATGCTCACACCAATCAACTATCTGGTAATGCACAGCGATGAGACTGGCAATCCCGCCAGAGTTTCCTCGTATTTCTTCTCGTTCTGCTTCGGAGCGCTGCTGTCCTCAACGTTGATATTTATGATATACTCAGGGGCAAGGTAGGTTTTTTTCAGAAAGTTCTTGCGGTTTTGGATGTTTCATTTTGAGATGTTTCGAAAAAAAGGTGAAATAACTTTGAAACGTGACGACGGCACATGCATTTCGTTCTCATATCATTTTTTCACGCAAGTACCAAGTATTTTGTATTTTTCGAATTTATTCTATTGACCACATAAAAATATGACTATAAATGAGAGGTTCACACAATAGTCAAAAATGGTTCACTCCAGCGAAGGTTCTTTGAGTACTACGAGCTTGACGGTTCGACTCATCCCTAGAATTCTTCATATTCTCATGAACTCTGCACGAGGAAAAGTAGCAGCAGAAAACACAGACGAACTCGTGTGGCGAGCCTGTGGTGCATGTTTTGACTGAAAAAACAGCGTCAAGAAAACTTTTGAGGTCTACTGCAGCCAGAGCAACTGAGACTTTCCCTCCATGGCAATGCACTCAACCGTGATACAACAACTCAATCGAACTTATACTTCTGTACCTCCAGATAGGTGAAAGTGTGACACACTGACGACAGTGTAACGCGTTAACGCGTGCTGCCCAAGTCATCCTCTTTCTCGGCTTTGTTTATTGTCATTTCAGAGAACCACACTATTGCATAATTATCAATGATATGGATCACCACATAGTCGAATATGCTCCAGTTTAGAGAGGTTTTCTAAGTGCTATGGAACTGGCAGCTCGGTCCATTCTTCCGTTTCCTTATTCTCATAACCATGTAGAAAAAAAGGAGTAAATACAACCTCGCACGGCTGAAGAACCACGTCAAAGATAGTTCTAACACCATCACAGAGAAAAAATTGTAATATTTGGTTTTTCATGACCATTACACTTTCTCTTCATCGGAATTCCACCACTATATGCGTACCAAAAGTATGTGGACACCCTAAAATCGATTCTCAGGAGCCAGCTAAAGACTTTTCTGCCATGAAACCTTCACCATTCAACTCCTAGTGGTCGATAACCTACAATGACAGTGACAATTTGGGCGAAAGATTTCGTTCTAGTTTAGCAAACTACTTTTTAAATTTTTTTGTATCAAAAGTATGTGTACACCCTAAGTTCCAGAGAGCCCAAGCTGAGATGTGGGTGACCCAGAATCCTGATGCTAAACTCTCAACATTGATTGAGGGTCGTCTTTATACGTTACTTGTTCAATACATCACAAGAATACCCCAAAAGATTCGTGTATGGATGCGCAAGACAGCTTTGCAAGGTTGGAATTCCCGTTCAAAAATGGGATCACAACATGGGACGTTGAACCTGGAACAGACAGCGCTTTTGCGGAAAATTATAAGATAAGAATAAAAGACGCTCTGTGAAAAATTCCCTCAAGACAACCTCGACTGGTGAGAAAAAGCTTATCTTTGGCTATTCGGGTGGATCTCGTTGCTAATGGAGGGACCTTCGTCGTGACCCGCAGCTGTACTCAGACATTTCGGGGGAGGCTCATCAATTGTCTGGGTTCGTGATTTCAAAAGA